TCCTATTTATATTCAAATGATATATAAATATTATATGAATAATAGATAAATATGCCTCATACCTCATACTTGATTAGGAAGTTATAGAGAGTTTCAACATCCTGGTAATTACTGTTGGGAGCCAAAATCCTAAAAATAAATTAATGAATTAATTAAATGATCCATGGAAACTAATGATTAAGAGAATATCAACTTGGATTTTCTCCCCCAAACTTACCTATATCAGTTTACTAGGCCGTTCAAAGGTTTATAACTTTTTTTTTTAATTATTTTTTAAGTTTTATGTGTATGACTGCTTGCATGAATGTACATAAGTGCACCCATACATGCAATGCCCAAAAAGGCTAGAAGAAGGAATTGGATTGCCTGGAACTGGAGTTTCAGACAGTTGTTAGCCACCACACTTGAGTGCTGGGAACTGAGCCTGGGTTCTCTAAACCATTAACTTAATTTAGTCAAAATCAATTTGTTACAATATTTTGGCTAATGTAATACTTACGCCATCAACTAATCAATAATCACAAACATTCTTTTTTTGTTGTTTTGTTTTAGCTTATTGAGACAAGGTCTTATGTAGCCCAGATTGGCCTCAAACTGGAAAGGTAGCCAGGGTTGGCCTTGAACTCCTGATCCTTCTGCCTCTACCTCCCAAGTTCTGGGACCACAGGTATTATGCCTCTGTGCATATGAATTTATAGTTCACAATTTGTGTTACACTAACGCATAGTGCTCAAAAGGTAGATAGAAATGTGAAGTGCATTTAACACTCCATATCTTTTAAGCTATCGACAAAACTTGAAGATTTCCTGTGGTAAGGTTCAACAAATTTAGACAGACAACAAAGAAACTATCAGGCATATAAAGATTTGTGGCCAAATTTAAATAATAATGAACGATCAGCACAGTGCTCTATGAAACTCAGTAGTTATGGTGGCTTGAATGAGAATATCCCCACATAGGCTCAGGTATTTCAACACTTCTTCCCCAGGTAGTAGCCCTTTTTGGGGAGGTCATGGGATCTTCAGGAGGTGCAACCTTGCTGGAGGAAGCACGTCACTAGGGACAGAGAGTTCACAGCATTTCCCTACTTCTAGTTTGCTCTCTCTGCTTCGTGTTTGTGGTTGAAGATGTTATCTCTCAGTTTCTTGTTCCAGCCATCTGCTGCCATGCCTTCCTTACCCATTATGGATTCTAAAGATCCTAAGTCTTTCTTGTTCCTACAAAAGACAACATGGTCACATTCTTAAGAGCAACACCCCACTTCTAGTACCAATTTCTGCATTAGTTACTTTCCTGTTGCTGTGATAAAACACCATGACCAAGGCAACTTAAGGAAGAGTTTACTTGGGCTTACAGTTCCAAAGGGATAAGAACCCACCATGGCAGGGAGGCATGGCAGCAAGAAGCAGCAGCTAAGAGATTACATCTTCAACTGCAAACACTGAGAGAATGAACTAAAAAAGTGGGGTAAGGCTATGAATTCTCAAATTCCACCCCCCAGTGATATACTTCCTCCAGCAAGGCCACATCTCCTAAACCTCCCCAAACAGCATCACCCCCTGGGGACAAATACCTGAGCTTATGGGGCAAATTTCTCATTTAAGCAACTACAACAGTTAATCAGACTATGCCAAACACTAAACACTATGGAGGTAGCACTAAACAAACGTTAGAAACAGAATGAAAATACAGGATTTTCCCCTTCTAATAGAAAAGTATTAATTCCTTTTGTAAACTAAATACTTTTTAACCTTTTCAGTATGAAGAATTGTCTTTTGAAACAAAGAAAAGATAAACCAGTGCTATGATTATCCAAGTGATTCTAAGTTACTGTCTGTCTTAATCTGCCTAGCTGTATGACCTTGTATAAATTATTAACTTTCATATTATTTTATTTTCCTATTTGTTAAATAAGAATAATATTAAGTCTGTTTCATACAGCTATTGTAAGAATAAATGAGTTAATATAAGAAAAACCTTTGCCAGGTGTGGTGACTTATAACCCTAACACTTCAGAAACTAAGGAAGGGAATTATCTCAACTTTAAGGTCAACCTTTGCTTCACAGTGAGTTCCAGGGTACCCTGGGCTATTGACCCTTGTCTCAAAATTAAGTGAATAAATAAATAAATAAAAAGAAAATAAAGACTTCTTTCTTATTTATTGTGGGTATAGTTTAAGAGCTCTTTGAGACAGAGTCTCATGTAGCGAGGCTAGCTTTGGATGCCTCATCCCTGCACCTGGCTCAGAAAAGCCTTTATAATAGTGTCTGGGATACAGCAAATGCTATATATGTAAATTATAACAGTAACAATGACTACCACCGTCATCTTCACCTAGGTTCAAGCTGTCAAAAGAAGTCAATGATACTGAAACTAAAGAGAAATCAAGCCATTTTATTAACTCTTAAATTCCAAGTGGCTTTTTAAAAAATATTTTGTTATTTTTATTTTATGTGTGTATTGCCTGCATGTAGGTAAGTGCACCCATGTCGTGCAATGCCCACGAAGTACAGAAGAGGCTGTCGGATCCCCTAGAACTGGAGTTACGGGCAGTTGCTAGCTGCCATGTGGGTGCTGGGATTTGAACCCGGGTCTGCAAGAACAGCCAGTGTTCTTAACCACTGAGCCATCTCTCTAGCCCCCAGGTGGCTTTTAATTTCAACAATGTCCCTAGAGTCCATATGTCCTTGCCAAACATGATGTAAGAGGAAAGCTAATTGATCTAAAATTTTTTCAATCTACTTTTAAACTATGAGTCCTTATTATACTTATGAGACCCTTTATAAACATTTTAGGCCATAAGCAAAGTTCTTTTTTTTTTTTTGTCTTTTTGAGACAGGATCTCCCTGTAGCCCCAGCTGTCCTGGATTCACTATGGAGACCAGGCTGGCCTTGAACTCACAGAGATCCGCCTACCTCTGCCTCCTGAGTGCTGGGATTAAAGGCGTGCGCCACCATGCCCGGCCCATACTCAAAGTTTTAAAGGTGCTCTGCTCACTTAGAAGGGGCTCATCCAGTATATCTTTAAAATGTACAAAAATCTGAATAGTTCCAGTTTCATGGGAAAGGTTTTCTCCCAATAAGTAACTTTAAATTCTTACTCTCTTCAGCTTCAGGTAATCAGCATTTGAATGAACATCTATGAGATCAATTATATAATTCAAAATACTAGAAGAAAGAATTCTGAATATTTTTACCATAAAGAAATGATAAATGTCCAAGGAGATATTTTTTTTACCTGATTTAAGCATTACACAATACCCCCAAATATGTAATTTATTATGTTTTTGTAGATTAGCTAAAATCTAAAAATGAAAACAAAGCTATCTCAATAAGTTAAACCAACCTTTTAAAAATAAAATGAGAAATAAACTAGTACACTCTTATTTGTAACTCTAACTTTTTTTTTTTCATTTTGTTATTTTCCTTTTATGTGTATGAATGCGCTGCCTGCATGTATGTAAGTGCACCTATGTTGTGCAATGCCTGCAGAGGTCAGAAGAAGGTGTTGGATCCCTGGAACTGGAGTCAGGTTGCTAGTTGCCATGTGGGTGCTGGGAACCAAACCCGGGTCCTCTGCAAGAGCAGCCAGTGCTCTTAACCACTGAGCCATCTTTCCAGTCCTGTAACCCTTACCTTGTAACCCAGCAAAAACTATCAGCGGTGTGGAATACTTTATATCTGGTATACTTTCTGGCTTTAGAAATAACCCAAATTGTCAAAAAGAGTAGAGAAATAAGAGCAAACAAGATGTTTTATATTAAGAGTCTTATTGGGGCTGGAGAGATGGCTCAGTGGTTAAGAACACTGACTGTTCTTGCAGAAGACCCAGGTTCGAATCCCAGCACCAACATGGCAGGTAACAACTGTCTGTAACTCCAGTTCCAGGGGATCCAACAGCCTCTTCTGTCTCCATGGACACTGCACTACACGGATGCACTTACCTACATGCAGGCATAACACTCATGCACATAAAATAAAAATAATAAACTATTAAAAAAAAATCTCATAAGCTCCAAGCTGATATCACAAAAGTACATACATAATTACAGTGTAAAATTACCATTATTTTGCTTTGAAATACTTTGTTTAAAGAAGAACTGGTTAGAACTAACTAGCCATTTGTCTAGAGCAGTAAGCTATATTCCAATAAAAAATAAAATAATTTCTTATTCTTGCTTTCAAATCAGCAAAAAAACAAAATATTTTAACCTAATTTTGATTTTATTTGTTTCAACAATTTTACTGAGATATGCATAGTCACCCTACTATAAATGGTTTTATATACCATAGAACACATTCATTTTAACAATTCAATTATTTGAAACAAATTTACATATCAGTTCCACAATCACCACAACCTAACTTCAGACCATTCCCTTTGCCTCAAAAAGATCCCTCTGGCCTCTTTAGTCTTTGTTCTCACCTTCAAACCCAACTTCCAGGCAACCACTAATCTCTCTGTCTGGACTACATTCATTTCTTCATTTCCAACTCCATTCCATCTTATCTTTACAAAATCATGGGTACAACTGTAAATAACAGCATATTATATGAATTCAGAGGATGATACTCCAGTGGATAATGTCTTTTACAGTATTTGATGAGTAAGAAAAAAAGTAAAACACATATAAAAGATGCCCATAACAGAATTGATCCTTTGATCTCTTACTCAACAAACATTTGGGTCCTACTACGAGCTATATTCTGTTCTAGGCCCTTGGATATAACAGTTAACAAAAAGATGAAGGCTCACAGTAAACCATACCATAACTGTTCTCAGGAGCATATGAAAGAATAAAATTCTAGCACAGGTAAATGAAAGCAGAAATATCTCATTTTATCCATTCAGCAGTTTTTACTCACTCTTTAGTAACTACTTGTAAAAAAATAAACAGAAAATTAAAGTTTGTAAGAAAGAAGCTATTTTGTTCTAAATGAAAACACTTATTTACATAAAGTATATTGGTATGTCAACATTGATAGATTGTATTATTTTTATAATCAGAATAAAACCATACATGCTATTTTTTTGTTATTTCAAAAGAATGGTTTAAGGTAATCGGAGTTTAAAACATGCTAGACTGTCTATTAAAATGAACTCTAAAGAGGGGATTAAAATTAGACT